TGTTATATGAGTAAGAGGAAAAGTTGATTTACAACCAAAAAGCTAAAGAGCAAGTTTATTTAGGATGGTTTGCTGTATTTACTTTATTTTATTTTTAATTCTAAAGTGATAATCCAGAACCGTAAATATCACAAGGATGAATAAATAGGATTAAAATAAGATCAATTATTTCATACAATTGCAGTTATATTACTATTGCTGAAAGATTTAGTTAGGACACTCACTATTAGTTTTCGAAACACGGCTATGGATGCCAGTGAGTCACAAGGAAGATGAGACATTCAAATGTCTAGTGAAATGAGGGATACTAATCTCATTGTGGAAAAACTCAACTATCTGCACATAAATAACCTTAGGCGACCTAGAAGGACTAAGTTCTAACACAAGAATTACTGGTAACCTCGAAACCTACATAAATCGAAAACAGGTTAAACTGTTGATTGCAAAAAGCATGTTTGCTTAATCGACAATTCTATTATGAAATATGAGTTGGGAGAGGCCTGGCTTGCCTTGAATGTCGCATCTGCCCTGAGACTTGCTAGAGCCCCTAGCTGTGAAGTAGAGGAGTAAATGTCGCAAAGATACAAACCATCGATATCGAATTTCATTGATAGTGATGATGAGACCAAGGCGAAGCAGAAACTTTAGTTTACCCTGGAACAGATAAGCTTTAGGGACAAGGTCAAGTGAAGATCATCAGGCATATTCATCGAAGTGTGCAAAAATTGAGCAATCCTTAATTAACTTAAGCGACCTAAGATGAATAAGTTATTGCTTACAACTAGATCTGATAAATTGGGTATAATTAAACACTTTTGAAAGAATTAAAAAGTTTATATTCACGAAATAATGACATTATTTAAAGCAATTTATTAAGAAAATTAAAGATTATAGTTGTTTTTTTGGTCACTCAAATAGGACCATGCAAGATTTAATATGAATGATCAAATGACGATATGCACATCTAGATGGGTTTTTAATTAAGTTTAATAGAAGTAGCAGAAGTGTCATATTTAAGAGCTAATTTAATTCAATTTAACTTAATCATACACAAATGGAATCTGTATAACAAATGAAAGTTATAAGCATTTTGCAAGAGAAGATTGGAACTCAAGTCTAGTTTAGTTACCTATGTCGTCTTTTCTTGCTTACTTTCATAACCTTATAAAACAATCTAAAATCAAGAGTATGTGTCCTTTAATATAGTCATGATCTCTTGCGTTGTATAGAAATTGTTTGATTTTGTCTCCGAAACTTGGCCATATTGTCAAGAAGACCTATGAGGCACTTTGTCTGGAGTTTATACTATTCATGATAATTTTCAGTCGGACCGTGGACTTGGTACATTCCCAGACGTTTCGTCGGCAGCGTCAGATTAGAGATGGATCCTATGGGGCAAGAGCGAGACTGATAGGACCTTGAGGAAGAGGACTAAAATACAGCTCTGGATCAACACTCCCAGAAGAGCAGGGGGATAAGGGAGTGTGAATAGGTCAAACAAAATCCACTCAAAAGGGAACAACTAAACTATCTTTAGAAATTCTTATAATGAAGGGGTGTTACGAGGATATAAAATATGTGAATACACCAGAGCAGGAGATATCACAAATGTTTAGCAGATAATTGGTCAAAAAGTCGACCTCACTTGTCATTTTGATGAGTTGTAATGTGGTGATTAAAATGGCAAGGGAATGCACTAAATCCACAGTCAGAATCTGGAAATTATCATGCATACTATGGACTCCGGATAAGGATCGTTCCTCTAGATCTTCCTAATATGACCAAGTTGCGAAAACAAGGCCAAACAACCATGTATGAAATTAATTTATTCAACGAACAGATTGAGACTGCATGGTGAGAGGCGTGAGATTGCATGTAAAGGAAAAAAATTCGAAAACAATCCTAAACCATGCTATTACGTGACGATTGTAGAGCAACGATTTTGGCATAATTAAGCATATCTGATACAAATGTATTGCTCAAGCACCATGAGCGTAAGAGAATGCTCAGTAACCAATTACCAGTCAGAATTCCCAAACCAATACCTGAAGAATTATTCTCATCCCCAAAATAACATGATTAACAGTATGAAGTATAATAAACATCTTTAAAGCAAAATAACAAATTCTATTCTCTAGAAGGAGCTAGAGGTTATTTCTTCTACCTGTCTCCAGTGCCATAAGAACCTCTACGACGACCTGCCCCCGGGCCAGAAGAACCATTGTAGAAGCGCAAATTTGAGTAACGGTCACCTTGCATCCCGGGAGAACGTGTCCGACCTCCACCACCCCCTACCGCCCCATATCCGCCTTGTTTCCTGCCTACTGAGATAGAACCCGCAGAGCCACCAGCGGCTCCTGCGGCAGCGGCTGCCAGAGCATAGAAATCACTTGCTGCAGCGGCCGCTGCAACTGATTGACCGGTATTGGGATATAGTGCAGCTGCTGCAGCTGCCATTGCCGCCATGGCCTGTTGTTGCTGAGCTGCAACAGCTGCCGCGTCGTAGAGATCCTGTAAATGACAATAATTATGCAATAGGCGGATAACTTAAATTGAGGCAAAAAACGCAATGGATAAATATCTCTACTGCAAAGAAATCTTTAACTAATTATGCAAATTTTTTTCAAAATACATAAAAGTTTGTTAAAGGTCAGGAATACAGTTACAACTATATTGAGTGATGGAGGTTTAAAACTATTAGCTACTCCAAACACAATTAATATTAAAAAGGAAATCATTCAGTCTAATAAGTCTTATTAAGCCTCCAGCGGCAAGTAACTAG